TGTGTTTCTGCGTTTCTGCTTGAGTTGTTCCAGTTTCCAGTTCGTTCAGCCATTCGTCCCAGTGTGACGTCATGTCTTGCCGAACGTGCTTGGTACTGGTGGCTTTGGCCTTGACGGCCTTGACCAGTGCAGAGGACGCAACTGGTCATTCCCCTGAGCTGACTGAGTTGCCAGATGAGAGGGGCTTGCCAGACACTCCAGGGCCATACAAAGAAGCGCCAAGTGACGCTGATGCCGAAAAGCCTGCGCATGCCATGCCAGCTTGGAGGTCCAAGGTTCCTAATGCCACCCAGGGTAGCCTTGGCAGCTTGGTGTCTTTGAAAGCTTGGCAGGACTATCAGTTCTGCAACGTTCACAAGACAGGTTTCTTCTGCGATGGCACCACTCGCATTCGCTGCTGTAAGTTGGAGGATGGCTATGCCAAATGCGGTTCAACTGCAAACTCAGGCACTTGTGCAGCCGAGAAGCCTGACTTATCCAAGCTGAAAAGCCTTGGGTTCTATAAAACAAGACAGGCAAGCAGCTTTTGCCAGAGACAGCTTCACGTCGGCACCTATTGCTACAAGCACCGCTACGTCTACTGCTGCAACTATGGAGCGGGAGTTGTAGAATGCCAACCTCAACACCAGAGCGGCCGCTGGTGCATGGATGTGTTTATCTAATTCGTTCTAGGTCTGAAATTGTAAAGTTGCACGGCTTGGTCGGTCGCACCCTTTGGGCGCCATTTGTACGACCTTTCAGCTGCACAGAGCTTGAAAAAAACAAGCAGCTGAATTGTAAGCTTTCTCGCAGTTTGTGCACCAACCTGGTGACTGCATTGCTGAGCACAGAGCTCGCTTGTTGGTTGGAGTTACTGCGGAAAACCACCTCCAAACCCGGAAGAGCAGTGGAAAATCGACGCTCCGGATTTTGTGTAGTTGCTTTATTGAAGCCAGACCAAAATCAAAGGTGGGATGACCATCCTCATGATCGTGTCTTGAAGATACACATGCATTCCTAGGTGCTCCAATCACAAGGACAGGCTATTTTTCTGCCTTTTTTTTGTGGTTGGTTGTGACACTTCTGGAAAATGCCCTGCCGTTTGGATGGCCATGTTGAATCAGTGTTATTGACTCCTCAAACGAGCTGTGAGTGAGCTGCTTTGCTTGAAGATGGTTTGAAGACAGCTTGGGGATGGAAGATAAGACGATGATCCATCATTGATGCTGGTAATGATGTGTTTCTGCGTTTCTGCTTGAGTTGTTTCAGTTTCCAGTTCGTTCAGCCATTCGTCCCAGTGTGACGTCATGTCTTGCCGAACGTGCTTGGTACTGGTGGCTTTGGCCTTGACGGCCTTGACCAGTGCAGAGGACGCAACTGGTCATTCCCCTGAGCTGACTGAGTTGCCAGATGAGAGGGGCTTGCCAGACACTCCAGGGCCATACAAAGAAGCGCCAAGTGACGCTGATGCCGAAAAGCCTGCGCATGCCATGCCAGCTTGGAGGTCCAAGGTTCCTAATGCCACCCAGGGTAGCCTTGGCAGCTTGGTGTCTTTGAAAGCTTGGCAGGACTATCAGTTCTGCAACGTTCACAAGACAGGTTTCTTCTGCGATGGCACCACTCGCATTCGCTGCTGCAAGTTGGAGGATGGCTATGCCAAATGCGGTTCAACTGCAAACTCAGGCACTTGTGCAGCCGAGAAGCCTGACTTATCCAAGCTGAAAAGCCTTGGGTTCTATAAAACAAGACAGGCAAGCAGCTTTTGCCAGAGACAGCTTCACGTCGGCACCTATTGCTACAAGCACCGCTACGTCTACTGCTGCAACTATGGAGCGGGAGTTGTAGAATGCCAACCTCAACACCAGAGTGGCCGCTGGTGCATGGATGTGTTTCTCTAATTCGTTCTAGGTCTGATCGGGTTTTGATCAGTGGAAATGTCAGGAAAATCGGCGCCTTGTTTTTTTCCCCTCCTTGAGGCCCTTTTGCAACCCTGGGATCGGTACACAGATTTACAGAACGATGATTGAATGCTCTGCCTGCTCTGCCTGCTCTGCAGGCGCAGCGGCACTGGATGGAACTGACCACAGCTTTGCCATTGCTGCAGTGGTACGAGCCAACGGCAGACAATGACCTCCAGTGCCCAGGGGGCTGTAGGGCAGTTACCTTGCTGAGACCGATTAGGACTTGGCGTGGTGGCATTGTTTTTTTTTCCACAAGCAGCTCTATATAGCTACAAAATGCTGCAACAAGAAGCTTCCATAATCTGACAGTGTCTCACCCGGTCTCACCTTTATGTTCGAAAAACTGAACGGGTGTTGCTTGCTAAACCTTCACTTTGTGCACGAGCTGCCTAGGAGATGGAACAGTCTATAAAGACTACCGTAAGCAATAAAGTTTCTGTCACCTGCAAAGCTCTCGAGGTCATCAGGCAGATGCTGCTGATACAAGTTGATACCTTCTATATTTCATGCTCAACATTATATAAATTCAATTAAATTCATGAAATATATTCTATATGTATAATTATATCAGAATCATAATATTATATATATACTTGAAAATACATCAAATACTTATTTCCCACCCTCCGCTTAGCGCAAGGTACTGGGGCCTGGACTATCCTCCACTGATGGCTTTTCACTCCTGGTTGCTGGGGATGCTCGATCTCCAGAAGCCTCTGATCCAGAATGTTGAATGATGTGAAACTATGCGAAAAATATTATCATAAGTCACACACAATGACATATAGATTATGTCAAAGGGAACTAAACGCTAGGACACTTATCATGTACATATGTGATTGTGCATTGAAACGCCGTACTGGCTCAAGTCCCTGCGCGAGGAAAAGTCCGAGCTCCGCTTGCAATGCCGTAACGCTGTCCAAAGCTACCAGCATAACGGGTATCACAGCTCAATAACTACATCCAGAACAAGGATCCATTTGTTCACAGGTTATCAGCCGTAGGGCTCACTTCTCCCGCCGGGAGAGTGGTACCTGCGTGCTGGTAGCCGGGCCGTCTGAGCAATTGATTGAGGACGCAAAGGACCAATCAGCTCATCATCGCAAAGATGCAAGGCGGCAGCGGAGATTCGCGCACCACGCAGTTTACCTTCAATGAGAACGCTGCTATGCCGGTCGAGGAGGTCAATCAATCTTCCCCTGGCGACACGGCAGACAGTGGCGGGATACGCTCTACCCGAACTACACAGTCCGGATGGCAAGTCACATCAAACAGACGAAGAATATCCACCCAAAGTACACCTAGATCTTCTCGAAACAGTGCTCGGAGTGATGTTGTCCGCCAAGGGCATCGACCATCTCGAGGACGTACTACTCCAAGGGACAGATCCACCAGGGCCGTGACCGACCGAATTGGTGAGAGGACCGGGGATAGTCGTGTTAAGAGGAGATCAACGGATACTTCTGTGGCTAGTGAACCTATTGCCATGATAGAAGAACTACGGGCACAATGTCAATCCCTACGTAATCAGTTGAACCACATGGAAGCATACGCTGCATCTAGAGATCAACTGATTCATGACATCGAGATCAGATTCACTGAGTATCTTCAGGAACACAACCAGAATGTATTTGATGAGGTCAATGCACTCAATCATAGATTGTCATGTTCCGCAAATGAGGTTGCAGAATATCAAGCAGAACTAATGGTAGCATCTCAGGAAGACGAAGGTGCAACAATACGCATCCAAGACCTTGAACGCCGAGGTGCCCTAATGGAACATGGTGCACGACGGATCCATCAACGTGGTATGGAGATCCAGGAGGAGTACAAGGATGAAGTACATCACCTTCAAGGACTACTGGGTAATACGGAGGCAAGACTACAACAACTTCATCAAACCAATGTCTTAACCACCGATATTGCCAATCGACTATACAATGAGGGTCAAGAAATGCAAAATGATTTCCAGAACTCAATCATGGAATATCGTAATCGATCTGAAATGGCATCCTTCTCTAGTAATCAACTTGAAGTGATTAGCCAACAACAATCAATTGCAGTTCATGAATTATCTGAGCGAAATCAGCTATTGAGTGAAGCTTTGGTTCAGTCTCGTAAACAGGCCGAGCTGTATGAGAGCAGTATTGATGAGATCACTAGGGAATCTAGGAAGAAGGTGTTCGAGGCAAATCAGGCCAAATTGGAAAGTGATCTGAAGCATCGAAACACTGAACATGATACCGTCAGAAGAATTGCATCATACAGGAACCAAGAGGCCGAAGCAATATCTCACCTGAGGCTTGAATCACAGGCTAGTGCAAACTCGATCGCAAGGGCAGAGCACTATGAGGAGCTCTATGCCAACGAGCAGAAGATGAACTGCGAATTGAAGGATGAGATCAAGTTGCAGAACACGAAGTTACGAAGATCGTTGACTCAGGGTTCTACGACCGACGGTCGTGGCCCCGAAGAGATGCTTGTTGAAGATCTACGTAATCAAGCTAAGATCGCTCAAATCAGGGTTCAGGATCTAGATCATGAAGTTCATGAATGTTTACAAGAGAACTTGTTGTTAAAAGAAAGGTTGACTGAAGTTGCGGATGTAGGGGCGTCGTCCCTCACCAATGCTGAGGTCCGAACTCTAAGATCTGAACTAGAGAGTGAGCGAAAATTGAAATTGGCGAGTGGTGTTCAACAATATGAGAGATCATGCATGTTCATGGGGGAAATCCAGGATAGGGATGAAAAGATTGGCATCAAGAATTCTGAGATTGTTGACATGAAACGTCACTTAGATGAACTGAGAAAAAGTCTCAAGGATTCTGAAACATCTATGGCTAGGATCAGTCCTGACGCACTTCCCTATTCGGCAGGCATTCCCAACTCCGATCTCGCATCCAGACTGGTCATCGACAAACTGGAGAATGACGTGAGTGAGGCTAACTGTGAAAACGCTATTCTGAAATCTTGGGTTTCGCAGATCGACAAGGAGTTGACTTATGAGACAAATGTGGCTCATTCCTATCGTGGGCATGATGTACCTCCTCAACAACAACAGCATTCTCAATCAAGCAAAAGAATCGCTGATCTGCTGAAAGAGGTTGACAACAAGATCGCTGGCGGAACTGAGAGGGACTATTACAAGCCACCGAGTGGATGGGGCGGTCCGCCTGACCCTGATGGACCTCCGGACCCTTTTGGGCCGTCCAGGACCACCTCCTGAACCTCCTGGTTTGCCTTCAGTTCGAGGATCACAACGCGATTCAGCAGATGATGTCTCCACAGCGGCTTACACTGCGGAAGAAGTACCGAGAATGTCAAGACGAGAGGCTGACAAAGTCTATGTTAGCCCATGGCCAAAGCAACAGAATCTTGGGGTTTGGCAATCAGATCTCATCAAGAGTGTTGTTCTTTCGGCAAATGACGGGGATAAAGCCGCATGGGAAGCATGGCTACAGCCGGCTATTCGACCAAATCCTGGCATCGAGCTGTTGAATGACAGTGGGGGGCAACGGTATCAGTCCATCGACGCCAAGTTGTCAATTGCATTGTCAAACGTGATAGCCCAAGCCGGTGATGTTGCTCGTCATGTAGCGATCAAATTGAGATTGAGAACACAAAGTCATAGCCGAAGAGGAACCTATGTCATGGGACGGGAAATCTTGGCTATGATTCTGGAGCACTTCAGAACCCCTGGTCAACGAGAAACATCCTTCACCATGGAACACATCGTATCGATGAAGTATCTCGGTGACTCGAACCTAGAAGTGTTCTACGAGAAATGGATGGAGATGGTATCAAACATGATGCCGGATGACGTACCTCCTGATGATTGGCTTCGTGACGCTCTATACAAAAAGATTCGGAAATTCGAGTCTTATGATGTTCGACATCAAGCAGTACGAGTCATGGATGGAAGGAGACCAAAGACGAAATTATCGCTACCTGTTGGATGTCATCGAGAGGCACATCTCCAGAATCAGAGAGGACAAGCATGTGGCAGCCAGAGAGAAGTATGCGAGAGACTTTGCAGGCGGCGGCAAACCTTCAGCTCCTGCTCCGAACCCAACTGCCGCTGCACCGGATGCAAATCCAAAAGCGAAGCCTAAAGCTACTCCCAAGGAGAAGGCATCGCCCAAGGCGAAGGCCAAGGCCGATGCAGCTCCAGTTCTACCATCACCTCAGCCTAAACAGCATGCGAAAGGGAAAGGAAAAGGTCAAGGGAAAGGGAAGGATCGAGCAAACAGCCGAAGTACCAGCCCCAGATCCAAGAAGAAGATCCCATGCCATTTCCATTTCATCAAGAAAGCATGCAGAAAAGGCAAGGATTGTGAATACAGTCACGACCAAAAGGTATTTGATGCGAACAAGAATGCAAAAGGCAACGGTCGGAAGCCAGGAACTCCAAGAAGTCAATCTCCGGCAAACAAGACCAAGAAGATTGATGAACCATGCTGGCATTGGGCTAAGGGCAAGTGTCGGTATGGAGACAAATGCAACAAACGCCACGATCCTCATCTATTCAACACTGCTCCAAACACTGAAGCACCAAGCTCAAAGGCTACTCCTGCACTTATCCATGATTGGAGTGATGATGAAGGGACGTTCCATAAGGTTGCATCGAACGTGATCAAGAAGAAGATCAGATTTGATGAGTCTAAAACTCAAGTTCAAACTTACGTGAAGAAGGACTTCGTGAAGTGCAGCCGGAAATCCCAAACCATCCCCAAAGGTCATGGTAAAGTTGGCAAGCCCACTGACCAGGTAAGGAAAGACGAGCAATGGTCTTATTCATGCAGGTTAGCTTCGAGCCGAGCGAAAGCAATGGCTATTCTGATCGATGAGAGGGGTGAACACAGTGACATTGATGAAGTCCTGGTCATCGTCGGCCCCAGTATGGACATTCTGATCAGACTCGACATCGAGGACGGTGAGGTGTCCAGGGAAGTTTTTGTGGAAAACTATGTTCAGCATATTGAAGGTCGATATGGTAAAAGGGGCAACACAATGTGTATCACTGTTCCTGTTGAAGAGAGAGATAAGAGATTCATATTGGATTCTGGAAGTGGTCATGATCTCATTTCATCCACACGAATAAGTAGAATGGATCTCCCAACATACGATGACAAGGTCGTCAACTTCCATACAGCAAATGGGGTAACGTGTTCGACCAAACGTTCAAGCATCAAGTTCGAGGCATTTAGCGAACCAGCAGAAGCTCACATCTTGGAGGACACACCCTCCGTGCTCTCCATGGGAAAGCGATGCGTTGATCTTGGTTACTCTTTTGTATGGCCGACCGGAAGAACTCCATTCATGTTGGATCCAAATGGCAACTTCATCGAGATGACTGTTAAAGACTATATTCCCTATGTGAGCGTCGATCAAGAAAAGATCAAGTTGAAATCATCTTGTGTGGAGAAGATCATGGCAGTTCTTGATGATGGATGCTCAACATCGGAAGGTGAAGGTCTTTTGGTCATTGATGGAGAAAGTGGGGATGAACTTGAAGATCTTTCCGACTCCGTTGGACGATCCAATGTTAAATCACCCAAGAGATCAATGAAGAAACGTAAGAAAGCTAAGGTAAGAGATGATCAACATGAAGTGGCTGTTGGAAGTGATGCAGGTGATGCTGAGGAAATGTCATGCTATGCTGACGAGTATGCCGAGTTTGAGGACGACGGATAC